GGGGCTGGGGCTGGGAGGATAGCCATCGGGGGGGGTGGGGCTGCAAGCAGGTGTTGGGGCCAGGTGAAGCAGTCATCAGGGAGAGCTGCAGGAGCCAGTGGGGGATGGGGCCAGGTGGGACAGCAATTTGGAGGACTGGGGAAGCAAGTGGGGGTGGGGCATGTGGCCCTCTGGGGGAGTAGCCCCTGAGGGAGCCATGTGGCTCCTGTTGGAGGGGCTGTGGCCCCTGTTGGGGGGCTGTAGCCCCTGTGGGGGGCAGTCCGTGAACTGTGCAGGGAGGCTGCACCCTGTGGGGGGCAGGGAACCCACCCCTCCTGAGCAACCCCCCTGCACAGTCCCTCCACAATCCACCCATACCTACCAACACACCCCATGATCTCCCACATCCCTCCACAGCCACCCACATCCCTCACTCCACTTCCAACTCCCCTCCTGCAAACCCCACATACCCCCAGCACACACTCCATGTGCCCAGCTGCTAGACAGGATTAGACCTGCTGGTAGGAGCTGTGGTTACAGGGGCAGCTGTCCCCACATCCTGGTTAGTTAAGGGGTCACAGGGAGCTCTAACTGCTCTATGGTAAGAAAACCAAAGGCAAATAGCAAAACATATAGGTATTTAGAATTCATTTTATTATGATGATAGCGACACTGGTTGGCTTCCAAATTGCTTTAACACTGTAGATATATCAATAAAATACTGCTCAACTGATTGCTGTCTCTGTCTCTCTGTCTCTCTATATAGTGATCTTTTGTTTTAACTGTGGAGGGACATGGATTTGGGGGTATTTTACAGAGTGACTTTGGGATTTTTTTTATCAGGGATTTTTCAGTTTTCAAATAGGGTACACCAAAATTCCTGCTAGGGAGGCAAGTGACAGGACCCAGGCAGAAGAGTCAGGAGGACATGCTTGGACAGTTCAAAGCAAACCACTACACTGGGAACATCTTCTGAGTGATAGCTGCCCAGATGGCCGGGCAAAGGCACACATGGCAGTAATGCCACACAAAGGCCATCTGTGCAGCCACAAAGGCCCTCCGGCCCAGCCACAGCCCACTGGCAGCTGGCCCAGAGGGGCAGATGTCTCTACTGGCTGTGCAGTCCCCATCCAGGTCTGGCAGCTGTGCAACAGGTCATAGCCAGGCAGCAGCCCCCACTGCCAGACTGTTGCAGTGGGTCAAGGGTGCAGGGAACTCTCAGGGCTGCTTCAGCAGTTCAGCTGGCACAAGGGGCAGTGTCTCCAGGTACCAACTGGCCAGACCCCAGAAGCTCCTGAGAGCGAGTAGCCCCGAGCTACTTGCCAGGGTGGCTTTTTATACTGATGGGGCCAGGACAGGAAGCTTTTCATACTGCTGGGGACAGCACAGGTGCTGGTCCTAGGCTCTAGCTCCCCCTGGCTGCAGATCCAGGAGGAGCCAGGCAGCGTTACTGTGCCCCAAGTGGCACAATTTGCCCCACACCAAAGTGCATGTCCAGGCACATGCGCTGAGGCAAAAAGCCCCATCTCAAATTTGCACCACTTCTATTTGAGTTGCTGCACGTGCATGTGCTTGCATGTCTGGATGCGCTCATGAGGACATCCCAACAAGCATGCATGTGTGATTTGTGTCACCACAGACCAGTTTGTAGTGCCACAAACTACACGCATTGCACATACAGGTGCTCGCCATGCTGCCCAAAACTGGAGCCTGGCCAGCCACACCTATGTTCCAGCTTCCAACCAGGCTCCATGCACCTGTATCTCTGATACTGGATCCTGAGAGTCCCCCAGGACCTCAGGTAAGGCTGCTGGGGCCAGCCCAGGTGCTGCTCCCAGCCTCCCCTAGCCCACCTGGATCTTTTTTCCCTTCAGCCATTGTTTGTGGAGACATGGCCATGGAGTAAGTCAGAGCAACCTGACATCTTCATACAGCTGTCAAGAGTCTGTTCGAACAGCTGGAGATAGCCCAGCCATTCCCCACCTGCACTGCGACCACTGAGAGCATTGTACAAGATATACTTCTGGAGTGCTAGCCACATAAGGATTTTATAATACCTGGCAATTTTCAAGGGGCTGATTAGGTGGCTCTTAGGATTGTTTTGCAGATTAAGCAAGAAGTGAAAGTGGGCATAAGGATCAGGACCTGTAGTGTTCTAATTAATCTTCTACACTTGTTTCCCACATTAAAGCAGACACTCTACTGAATATTTTTGAAAGCAAGCTCCAAATGGTTATTTTATGTAGTGTATAATCATCAGGTAGTAGAAGTAAAGAAATCTAGAGGGGTTACAATGTTATTGATAATTATATTCTATTTATATATACCATCACTCCAAAAATAGGACACCATAAATTAGTTTTGGTAAAACATTTACCTTTGGAATCATGCTGAGTTCTTTGGAATTTCTGGTTAATCAGAATATGATTAATGCTTTTCACAGAGGTACAATGGTCACCATTGTAACCTTGAAAATGGAGTGCCTTAAACATCATGCAATGCCAGCTCATAAATAATATTAAATCTTGGTTTTGGTTAACTGTGAGTTGAGAGCCATTAGTATTACATATTTCAGTAGAAAACTGAAGCTACTTTAAAAGTAAAACATAGACTGAAAAAGTTAGTTGGCATTCAAAGAGCAAAATGCAGTCATTTGTTTCCAGACAAGGATGAAACCTTGGATAAAGATAATATAAAGAAATATCATCTTTCTAAACTAACAAAAATGTTTTAGTTTTGTTTTACTGGTTTATCTACCCAAATACCAAAAGAGGAATCTTAGGACTTAAGAATTAGAAAAACCTGTTATTCTAAAACAAAATGTTATTTTTCCTTCTAGTGCTTTAGAA